CAGGCAAGGCGTAAGGCGTGGCAGGCAGGCAGCAAGGCAAGGCAAGCGCAAGGCGTGCAGGCAAGTGCAAGGCAAGGCGTGGCAAGCAAGCTGGCAAGCCAAGGCTGCAAGCAAGCGTGGCTAAGCAAGGCATGCAAGGACAAGGACGTGCAAGGCAAGGCGTGGCAAAGGCAAGCGCCCCACACTTGGCAAGCAAGCGTGGCAAGCAAAGCCGTAACGGGCGGGCGAGCGGAGCAGGGCGGTGAGGGCAGGACAGCTGAAGGCAGGGCATCCACGGACCGTGTTGGCGGCGCTCCAGGCTCGAGCAGGCGGTCTGCGTCCGAGAATAGCGGCTAATTGAACGGCGTCACGGTGTCGCCGCAGCCGCTCTCCCCTCCCGGGCCCGCCGCTACCCGCCACCCGCTGCCCGCGTCTCAGCTCGCCGCTCCGCTCCCCAGCTGCCCTGGCCGGAGAGGCCCTTCGCCAAAGGGTCATTTCCATGCGGCGCCCAGCCGCGCACTGGGCCGAAGCTCCCTTCCAGCGGGAGGCCGTGACCTCTCTTAGAAAGCACTCGACTGAATGAGTTTTATTCATTTATAAATATGACATGAGATGATACACCAAGGGCATTTGTGAATTTCGTGTAATGAACAATATAACTAACCTATTTTAAATATAGTGGTCGTAGGCTTCGGCGGCCAGAGTCATGTGGGTGATCTGGGCTGTCCAGGTGACGCCGCGTCGAAGGCTGTGTGCCGACGTTTCGACCATCCTGTCGTGGTCTTCCTCAGCATACCAACTCGCATACCAGCCCTGAGGAAGACCACGACAGGATGGTCGAAACGTCGGCAACACAGCCTTCGACGCGGCGTCACCCGGACAGCCCAGATCATCCATATTTTAAATATACTTGTGTAACCGATGCCCCTGACTTCAAATTCAAACTATGTATGTATTTTTGTAGGAAAAGAGGTGGTATGGGAAAGAAGGTGAAGAAAAATACCATTTTGATTTTCATTTTTATTAATTTAAAATACACTAAGTCAAAGAATTGTACGAGTCATTTATTAACAAATTCAATTAAAAATCGATTAATTTAATTTTATGATATGAATACCTTTAAATATTTTTATTTTTTTACTATCGAGAAAAGTCGAAACGGTATGTGGCGAAAGGGGGGGGGGGATAGAGTACAATTAGAGTTCGTGTACTTGTGTCCCTAAATAGTTTCTCTCTGTTGCTACAGAAAATACATTATTTAGTTATAAATAAAGGTAGCAACGAATGTTGCGAACATTTTCTAACAAAGAATGTTATTTCTTTGACGCTACTTGCATCGGCAAACGAGCTACAGATCTGATTTGAAGCCACTGCTGACGAAACAACAACCTCTTATTCCTCTCGCCTTTTTGCACGGGTTGGACAGAAGTATCGGTGGTTGGGCAATGGTATTTGGTTTCGAAGAAGATGGCAGAGTCTCATCTTAATTTGCATTTAATTCAACACAGAAAGATGTATGACTATGTCGTCTTTGCAAACTGTCGTGTTCTCGAAGAAAATATTTGGAAATAAATGACTTTCACTTGAATCACATATTCACTTCCCTGAAAATTAATGTAATGTTGGATAGGGAAGGAAAATTTGTGTGTTACAAAAATGAAATGCTGTTTTTTCGAAACTACAAAACGTTATGAATTAATTTTAAATATGAGAATCAAACTCCAAGAACAGACATAAACGTGAACATGTCATTTGTGACCCGTGCCTGACGTTCTAGTTTCCTTTAATTAACAATTCAATTTCTTAAACTTTAATTTTCTTCTGCAATAATTTCAAGAAATGCGTTGTAGTAAATGGAAATATTCTGTGACTTTCTATTAAATACGAGAGGTATTAACAATTTTACAAACATTATTGATTTGCTTTTATTCATGTGAGTAGATTAGTTTGAATACCAATCGTACTTGCAGGAATCTATAAAATGTTACATAAATATTTAAACAAAATTAAAGGACATGAAATGTATCTGGAAAGAATGTAGAAAATAGGTTTGTTTTATCAGAAGATTTTTGTGGAACCTGGTTTTCAGAAGTGTCAACAACTCTTCCTTCTGGCTTGCAACATTCGCAATGACCTTTCAACTTGGCCCCGGACGAACCTGCATTCAGACGCACTGCACGGGGGGGGGAGGGAGGGGGCGTCTCCCCTCGGCGTCTGGGAGTGCCCAGAGTGGACAAGCACCGGGGACGGTGTTGCTCTTTTTACTCGCCGCTTGCCTCCAAGTACTGAAAATTTAATGAGTCTCGAGAACTCCTGAGTGGCAATATCTCTCAAAACAGGAAGCTGCCGACCTGAATTACGACGTCGTTATCTCGAGTGTACCGCCCGGACTTTTGAATGTCGAAGACGTATAATATTCGACAGACACGAGCTAACGTTTTCATGTTCGATGCTAACATAAACTTTCTCGAACGTTGCATCATAGCGCAGGGAGTCCAGGTACGGGGTAGGGAGATAAAAATCTTTCTTCTCACTAGGGTATTAAGAACAGATTTGGAGTGGTATTTTTAGGATTAGTCACACTCCAAAACAGGTGAATATGTCATGAGTTATTAATGTCTTTTGAGTCACGAGTTGGTAAAGTTCGCAAAATTAGGGAAGCAGTATTGAGAGAGAGAAAGAAAAGGCTTCTAATATTTGGTATTTTAAGAGTTAACTATTTTGGGGTTCATCAGCACTGCCCTTCAGTAAGTTTAAGTAACCTTCAGTTTTCTCCGTCCATTGCTTTCTTCTTCAGATGCTGGAATTTTCTTCTCATTTGCGATGGTCTCGTATTGGTATAAGTCTTCTCCCTCGTCTCATTTTCCTTTTCGTGTGCCAGTTTATAGCTTTCTCAAAATGCTTTCATTTTCTTTCAACGTATGCCACCTTCTCCTTCATGTTTTTTCATTACCCCACACTAGTCTCTTCAAATTTATACCGTTGATAAAAGGTTCGCGTTTTAACGATTTCCATTCATTTGTCCTTACCATCCTTGTCTTTATTACAGCTATTTTTCATCACTTTTCGTTATTTTCCACGGGTCTGATCCACGATCTGGGCTCACCAACTAAAACATTTAAATAACTTATTTTTCAAATCCATATACTGCTTGAGCATAATGATTATTTCTTATTTATGAAAACCACTTTCCCCAGTGCAGTTATTTTTATTTTTCTTCTCACATCTTCACTTTTTTGCTTCTCTCCAGGTATATGAATTATTAAACTCGTGTTACTGTTTCTTCTAGGTCAGCGTACTAGAATTCAATAAGCATTTTTTTCTTGGAGAGTAGTGTTAAGTGAAAAAGACGTCTTTATCTTAATAGCATTCATTAGCCGTGAAGTGGCAATACCTCTCACAAAAAAGTATTTCTCAGTAACGCATTTTCCTTGGCTGTACTCTGAGTGAGATTCAATGGAAAAAGTAATAAAACAAAAAGGTTTTAATGCAATTACAAGCAAAAACGCCTGCAGCCAATACAAATCTTAATTTTTCAAAATGCAGCAGTTTGTGACGTAAGTATCGTAAGAACGTTCTCGTCCCATCGTACACTGTACATGTTCTCCAGCAGCCTTCCAGGGCAAATGAAGCTGAGACAGTGCCTCCTTATGTTCTGCAACCCCGGCTACCTGGCGCACGGCTCCGTGCGAGTTTCAGATATCTCCTGTTAGAGGGAGTTGCGAGGAAAAGTAACCACAGGTTACATGAAGCGATAACTGCTAAATCACTCTCCTTGCGCCGAGGTGGCGTTGCAGGCTGCACGAGAAAGTATAGGAGTAGCTGGTCCACATCGGGAAGTGAGCACGCAGTGAGGCATTTCATCGATGCAGTACACGAGCGGTTTCCAACCGATGTGCCGTTAGCTTAAAAGTGAGATTTACTGCCCATTTTACCACAATAATAATAAAAATAGTAATAATAATAATATAAAAATATTGTTATTATTTACTGTAATCAACTTGTTTACAAGGAAACAACAACGAATATGTTTACATGATATATCATTTATAAAATGTAGAAATGAGGACTGTCAGAGCATACGTAGTTATCAAGAGACGAACGCGTTGGTTATAAATAACGAATTATAGAATTTAAATTTCACAAATAAAACACTGTGATAGTTGAAATCTGAAGTTTAAATAATAATAATAATAATAATAATAATAATAATAATAATAATAATAATAAACGCCGCGAGATACAAAATCATAGCTTTAATGGTCCCCAGATCAAAAAATGTTGAATACTTTGATCTATGTTGAGGACGATTTTAAAACGGGAAGAAAAGCTCAATCAATCACTCGTCACAGAATTAATTATCGTCACAGGGACATTGAAAACCGCAAGTCCGTCCGCGGATTTTCCTCCGGGCGACGGAAGTGGCGGAGGCGAGGGATGCGGGCGGCAGGAAACGAGGGACATTGCACAATTGAAGAAAGCAAATTAAAGGGAACGATATTATGGAAAAAAACTTAGTGATATTTTTTATAATAACTATTTTACACATTAATTCTTATTTTTCCTAGTGTTTTTGTCCAGACGACAGCCGGGTACACTTAACGACTCGACGGGACGCATACACCAACACACTTGCGGGGTTTTCTGACCTAGGGTGAGCAGAACGCGAGGCCCTTTGCGACAACACATACGTGAATGACAAGGGACACACCATGCACAAGGCGGGACTCGAACCCGCGACCTTTCGGACCGACGTCGGTACATGCTCTTCGCCACCCCAGGCATTTCGGTCGGCACATACTTTTACCTTGTTGCACATTAATACATTTTTAATTATACCGATTGTTTTTAAATCTACAAAACGGTGAGGGCGACGCGGTGGCGAGGCGAGTGGCGAGGGAGGGCGGTGGAGCGTGGCGAGGCGGCACGCGGGCGAGGGAGGCGGCGGGGCAGGGAGGGCGCCGCGGCGAGGCGAGGGCGGCGGCTCGCGGCAAGGGAGGGCGGCGGCGGCGGCAAGCGCGCTACGGCCGTGACCCCGTGTTGGCGCGGAAGCCAGTCAGTCGGCCAGCCAGCCAGCCGGCCGCCCGCAAGCACGCACGCACGCCCCCACGCAGGCACGGCTGAGCGCTGCTGGCTCCGCCCGCGCCGCGCCGCGCCGGCGGCACGAGCCCTGGCGGCGGCGGCGGCGGCAGGTGGGCGCCCTGCCACGCACGGGGCGTAACGGACTTCGGCTGAGAGGGGGGGGCGGCGGCCGGGTACAATGGTCTACAAAAAGTTCTACGCGCACGAAATCCACTCGAGTCACAAATCTGAGACAGTGGTACTTCCAATTTCGACAATTAGTGTTATTTGGTATCGGGTATGATATCTCTTCCTTCCACTTTTCACACATTCTTTACTTAAAGAAAACAAAATGTCGATGTATTATATAAATCCACTTCAGATTATTTATATCGTGCTTCGTCAATATTTACTTAAGGATTTTTTTATTATAAACTCCGGCAGTACAAAATTCGAATTGTAATGCTCCAATGATTTTGAATGCAATTCTACGAACATTAATATCAAACCATACGCTACTAACCTCAACTGTTTCTCGTTAATAATAACTGAAACCAATGCGTCACAATTTACAAGTATTTTTGTAACTAACCCCCGAAGAGAAATATTAAATAAGAAGACCATTTCTACGATTATTTTTAATTTTCTTATTAGATTATCTATTTCTAATTTTAGACAAATAAACAAATTTAGATAACTTTGTAGTTTCACTTATTCACCTTTAATGAGGTAACATTTATATTTTTGATACGTAACAACCGTTGATTTTTCAAAGTTATTATTCCATTTAAATTCCTGTGTTTTTTAAGAAAGCATTTACAAATCTGAGGACCCAAATACAATTTTTTTAGCTTATTCCACTTTACATTTAAGTAGAAATATTTACATAGAGGAATAAGAAAAAAAGCACCCATATGGTAGTTGCTTTCAGTTAAAATCAAGAAATCGCACACTACGTAAGTTTCCGAATTTTGTTACATATTCGTTAAAAGAAAAGCATTTCCCACTTTTGTGCATTTCTAGTCGGGGTTCAACAAATTAATTTCGGCCTCACAGGAATAGACTCCGGCCCACAGTGTAGGGGCCGGGCCTTAATCGCACGACTGGTCGCGTTCTGGCACGAAGGTTCAGCACCTACCTCCAGGGGGCACTCCACACCTGGGTCATAGATCCCGGCTTCCCCTTTTCCTTTTTTGCCTCGAAAGGATATCGGCAGTTACCGTAGAGCGCGATTTCTTTTAGAGTTGCCGGCAAAAAGTTAATGTGGAGGATACGTTAATTTGATGCATCTGTGAATATAGATTTACTTTCTACCTGTCTTCCGCTTTCTTAGATCTCTCTTTCTTGGTCTCGTTCGTAGCTACTAGTTGGATTTCGACGAGATTCGTACTTTCGCTTCTGGCACACTTCAGAAATCTCTATTTCTTAAAGTCTTCTTTCTCTTTCCTTGACTTAAAAAAAAAGAGATTCTGCCTCTTTCAGCGCCTCTATTTTTCATTAACATCCCAAGTCATCTCTGACAGGTCCACATCATCTCCTCAAGTCATATTGGTTCATTGAATATTGTTCGTTTCTTTTATAATTTATTTCAATCTCTACATAATTTAAGTGAATACTATTCATGTGTCTCGTAATGAGTCTTGAGTAATTTAATTATATTTTTTCACTTCTTTTTTACCTTCTACAGTCTTTTACTCTCTCTTGTGCAGCTTCTACCTGCCGGTTTCCAGTTAATCTACATGATAATATCTTCTTCTAAGAATTTTGTATTGGTAATTTTACAGCACTTGTCTGCTGCTCCCGTATCTTCTCCTAGTACTCGGAATAAATTTGGACTATTTGATAAACCTTTCCTGAATTTCATCTTATAACCTGAATGTAAATGCGGCTTCTATCGGCAACGTCTCGAGTCTGCTGATTTTATGGATTCGGTGAATTCGTGAATTTCAATGCCAATCGATTACATACTTTCTGCTTTCGACTCCACGCAGTCGGACCTGCACACAGCTGACGCCGCGTGAATACGGGAGGATTCTAAGCCTTATTCAACTTCGCAGGTTTGTGCGGCCACGAAGAGCTTTCTTGCAAAAGCAGACTTTGCATTTTCAGGCGATGAAAACGTCTTTTTTGTGCAATGTGTCACTGTTCTCGAAAATTAACTTCCTTACGTAGCTGGAATAACTGAATTCTACTTCTTTGCGGGCTATCTTTCTCACAATTTATTTTTAAAAACCATAAAAAGAGCCAAGATAAGTACTCGAGAAATAAATAATGATGGAAAGGTGTAAATTCAACTCAAACGTTTGTTGGGATAGTATCAATTCTGCGAACAATGCTGAATCTTGAGCTATGAACGTGTGGTTTAATGAGTGTGTGAATTAATGAAGCGAATTAACGTATTTAGCTAATACGTTAATTCCCTTTAGTACCTTCGGTTATATTCTCCCACTACAGTTAACGTATTGCACTCAAACACGTAAGCACGGTTGAGTTTTAATTTGGTTTAGTTAGAACCAAGTTATATTCGTTTTAACTTGGATTCTAAATGTGCACTTATACTGCAATAGTTGACGATGTGCTCTCTATTAAGATGTATAAACGACCCCAGCACTCTTAAACGAGTAAAATGTAAATCTTCATATTTTTTGATGAGGATCAGCAGTATCTCACTCATATTTTTAACACGCTAGTGATCCAACAATTTAATGTAAGGTGTTCTTGGTTAATGAAGAGAGTAATTTACACAACTGACATATCACCTGTGCGACATTTTCTCAACCTGGCAACTGCTAACATTGACCTTCAGTTGCAAGTACACGCGCACCTGCCACAAATGCTTTCCGCTGAGTGAAGATAATAGATTAACAAATCAAAAGTACGTACAATAAAAAGAAACAAACAGCAATTAACCCCTACTGCCATATACTGTATTTGCTGCAGGAAAGTGTGCAACGAATAGTAAACACATGTGTTTCAATTACATATTAGACATACGGTCACCTTTTTACCAACAACGATTTGGCGCCATGAAACACAGTCGAAGTCCGACATTGCATTAACTGAAATCAGTGATAGGCCCAGTACCATTTAGGTTCTGAGTCAAGTTCTGACAAAGATCGTACAAGAGACTTGACCATTTCGAAAACATATGTTATTTCTACGTAGCACTTCATACAGTAATCAATTTAACACTGAATCAGCACGGTATCCTGGTACGACGATATGAAAGACGGCATTTCGTATTTTTAAGTGACCCACACGAACCACCAGATCTCGCACGTACATAAATAATTTCCATGAATGTTATGTATCACAATTCCGATGAAACTGTTCAATGTTAAAACATTTTTAATTCACTACAATACACACAACCACTCAGGTTAAAAGCAGTTAAAGCAACATTAGAAGTAGAACGTAGTGCTGTCTTTAATACGCTTCCAAGTACCAGTGCACGATAAGAAAGAATAATAGAATGTATACTCACTCGTTCTTTCGGTAGTAAAATTTATTATTATTAATTATAATAATAATAATTAAATTTTACAACCGAAGTTAATTCTATTTCACTGAAATTGTGAAATTATGCATTTTTCACGCAATTAATGAGTAATACAATATTGCAGTTTATAATAATAATAGCAACAGTGATAATATTTTTATATAATATTTATTATTATTATTGTTATTACTGTTGCTGTTACTATCATTATAAACTGCAGTATTGCATTGCTCAAGGGGTGCCTGAAAAGTGCTTAATTTCACCAATTAAGTCAAATGGGCGATTTTATTTGATTTATTAGTCAAAGAACATTATAAAGCGTTTAATTAATTAAGCACCTAAAATATAAAAGTAGTGATGATAGAGGAGGGGAAAAGGCCGATGCGTTGAACACCTCTCGGAGCATGAAGCACTGGCCACCCGGGCAGCCGCGAGGCGGCGGCGGCGTTGTCCTCGAAGCATCGGTCTGGAGGGAGGGGCGGGCGGGGCGGGCGCCGGCCGGCGAACGGCTGGTCGGCCGGGCGAGGCTTTCGCCCGCCGCTTATCTAATGGGCTTCGGCAGCGTATGGGGCGCGACGCCCCGCCCCGCCCCTGTACCCCCAGTCGCCCCCGCGCTCGAGGCCGCGAAAGGCGCCTCGGGCCGTGCGCCTTGCGACACGCCTGCCCGCGCCTACCGCCCTGGCGGTCACTTGTTCTGGCACGCCGCCGCCGCTTCGGCGCTCAACTCCGAGGAGCCGCACCGGGAGAGGTGACGCAGGGCATCCACTGACGTCACTGCAATGCCGCTAGGCTCGAGTCCCGATAGTGGCAAGTTTTTCGACACTAGCTTGCCAGTTGGGGCGATTTCAGTCGCTGTCTAGAGGGGAATTCTAGCGGCCGGCAGCTCTTGTCGGTAGTTTTCCGTGGTTTCTCCGATTACCAGGCGGATGCCGGAGCAGTACCCTAACAAACGGGTCACGGACCGCGCGGAATCCTTCCTACCTCTTCCTTGTCTTATCCTCACCCCTTACACACATTTACACTAACACCCACGACTCTACCACCCATGCCGTGACACTGGTCGGAAGCTTAGAGCTTGTCCCGCTGGGGCGGTGCCCCGCTGGTGGGAGATACCTGGGAAATCGTTACCCGACGGTAGGTCGGCGCCGGGTGTCAACATCCAGTAGGGTAAGATCCCGAGGAAAAACATTCTTTACAGTCACGGGAATAATGATCGTAGCAGTTGACAGAATCACTATCAATCAATCAGTCAATCCAAGAAGTTTCGAGATGGAGTGGTACACACGGAGGCAGCTTTTGTGTGAAACCATGTGGCCGCAAGTGCTCTTTATTCAGAGTATTATAATTTAACCGGTTGAAATACTGTTATGTGTTGACATTTGAGTCTGCTACTCAGAACTTGTTTTGATATTTATTTTTAATTTTAATCATTTTACAAAATATTAATTTTTATCTCGGCGTACACTGTGCAGTCCAAGACATAATGTGATATAGACCGTGATATTTAATTATAATTTTGCTGTCTGATTGTTTAGAAGCTTATTTTATGAGAAGATCCATTTGATATAAACGAAAGATCAAATAAGTTCCGATTCATTAATTGAATACAAAATATTAGCTATATTTGAGATGATATCGAACAATTCCACATTAAACAGGGTATTGTTATAGTAATACAAAGGAATACGAGTGAAGCAATCGGACG